CCCTGATAGGTATGTGCTGAGCGATTCTAAGGCAGTTATACTTACCAAACTCATATACAGATACCATCTCGAACTCGGCTTGGATTGAAAGTGAAAGACATTTGCAGCTTAAGCCAGTCACCGTTAAGCGCTGTGATCAGAAAATTTAAGATCACGATTAAAGGTAAGATCTGCACACGCCGGAGCATATATCGGTCTTATAAAACGACCAGTTAATGCAAATGTCTAGAAGAGAAGAAAAAAACTGTTAAGGCGTAGGTTACAGTGAAAAAGCAGTCCACTAGATAGAGGTGGTAAGTGGTGTGGAGGGATGAAGAAAAATCATGAGACGCCCAAACCTGAAGAATAAGACCCGCCCGCGGTGCTGCCCCCTTTAGAGCTAACGCTCTCTCTGCTGAACGACTAGAGTCAGGCAGTGACAGGTTACCTATCGGTGGGCGTGCACAGGCGCGAGCGGCGGGGATACGGCCCTGGAAGATCGCTGGGAGCATACCCTTCCTGCAAAACTAGCGTCGTTCCGCAACTTGAGGAGAGTGGACTGCCTTATGACTAGGTATGTTTACCTTCTTCGACCTCCTAACTTATTGAGAAATATTCTTTTATCTCCAATGTAAACTGGGAACCAATAAAGAGGTTGATGCTCTGTGATCTTCAAGGAAATCTCAAGGATCGAATCAATCACCAATCAGACCAACCAGTTGAGCATCGAAACGCTAGGTGTAGAATATGAGGATAGTCGATTAGTTGCATACGCTGAGAGTAAGAGTGGGGCACAGAATTAAGTCAACTGGTCAACTGAACCTAATTAACTGACAGAATGGAGTGTATGAACATTCAATATTCGAATTGATGAAATAATGGACTATTGGAGAACAAAAGGACTACTCAAAACTACTCAAAAACGTTTGAGACTCAGTTGGGTTAAATTATAAAAGCTGAACCATCCGGTAAAACATCCGTTCTTTGTAGTTGCCAAGCATTCTACTTATGGCTCTTCACTGTCATTTGGCCCATACAGTCACCTATGTACATACGAATGGCGACTGGTGTTTGTTGTTTCTAGCCATCGCAACAAGTCTGGCACTAATGCCGACCCCAGATGGATTCAAAGCTTGCTTAGCCTGGTCGAGATCCAAACCTGGATTTGAATTTCGGATCTTGCGCGTGAATGCGGTGCCATCTGCCGCTAAATAATTTCTCCACCCCCTTATCTTTCAAGGCCAATCCATCATTCAAAGCAATCTCAAAGGTGGGTTGGGTGAGCGCAATAAGCGGCGCTAATTTTCCGGCTCCTTACCGGTCACTTATAGCCCAACGTGGAAAATGCTTCCTTCGCTACACTAATGATCACCGTGATTGTTGTTACGTCCACGACGCTACTGATGGACCATGTTTTCGGACGCAATCGCCGAGAAGGTTGCAACGTTGATTTGAGGCTGCGCGATTCCGGTTTCATTTGACCGTAATCAGCTAACAAGACGTGTTTCTATCACACACACAGAGACAGACAGGCACACACACACACTTACACCCTCGTCAGGCTAGTGTACACATTTTCATTCACGCATTCACATTCCTTGACACTGCCCCACTAACACCTTGATTTATTGCCATATTCAATGATACTCCTGGCCATTGTCGGTACTAGGGCTCATCATCAACTCTCAGAATTCTCGCATTGATAGAGCATCCACGATAAGGTTTATGTCGAACTTTTTCAGTGAGTGCTTACATTTGAAAGTTTTGCTTGAAAACGTCTAAGTCCACAAAAACATTGTGGTGTGAATGTAAAGGCAGTGAACACGCTGGCAGATGTGGGGAGCGACGTAAGCAAACCAGCCCTTTTGGCACATCGGCTGGGACCGTATGCTGAATGTTGGGGAGGGGATGGTGTCCCCGACGGTGGACGGACAACTTCAACGCGGTCCTTAGAACCGCCACAATTTGGCGCTTACCTTAGAACTAAGCCTTAAAGAGAGGACGGGTCCGTCCCCTCTCCTAGGCTTAGTCCAAGGGTGAGCAGACCGGTCCTTCTGGCGAAGCTACTGGACCAGCTGCACCACTTGCGTCAGTACTCTCCTATCGTACCAACCGAGTTGAAGTAAACCGTCGACCGTTGGGGACCCCATCCCCTCCCCAACATTCAGCATACGGTCCCAGCCGAAACGCCAAAAGGGCTGGTTTGCTTACTCGGGCAGCAATGTTTTTGACGTCAGTGAGGGTGATTGGTGGATGACATTGGGAGATGGTTCCAAATACAACCCCTAGCGCACTGAGGGCATGGTCCGCCAATGATGTCCAGTGACGTCATCAAAGCTTGCTCCACCTTCTAGTCAACGCGTTTACTGTCTTTAAGTGTACGGCTAAAGAACAAGAATTTTAGAAAATCTGTAGCTTGTTCCTTAGCTAGTCTAATTACTTTTTGACAACAGAAGAAAAACTACATGGAATTCATTATTGATACATTTATCAAAGCTACTACCATATGGCAGGAAGTGAGCCATCGCATTTCATCTTTGATCTAGGGGCGGGGTTTCCTGAGTGGAACGGACCAGTGATGTGAAGTGAGTACAAATCAATACTGTGCGCATTTTCGCTACAAAAACAATTTTTATATCGTGTTCGGATAAATACAGTGAGTTGCCTCAGTGCAGCGGAATTTCGATGGAAACTCTTCTGTAAAAGACAGGGACTTTAAACATCTCTTGCCGAGGATGCCAATGTAGAAAGTTCTGGTCCTTTTTTTCATGCTGCACCTTTTGCCGAACGAAAAATGTGAGCTGAGCGAGAGCGACAGAGAGAGCAGAAGGTGAGGTGCAGGAGGGTTGTTTGCCGGTGCGGGACCGGTCCGCCACCGCAACCCACGCGCTCCCCTACAATCACACTTCTAGGCACCCCGCCAATACATGCTCATGCAACAGCATTTTATTTCCTGAATATCATGCATTATTTATTATCAATTTACAAATTTGCTTTTTTATTTGCTCTTTACTACTGTGATGGAAAGGCCAGGCAGCGCTTACACTAAGGTCGAAACTCCGCTTAAATGGAACGTCTTCTAGCTTCGTAAAGTTTTTTTTTAGGATGCTTAAAGGGCGTTAGAGTGGGATCAGCGCCACCTTTTGAACCTTAACTGAGATGATATGAAATTTTTTTTGCGGAACACTAGATTCAAGCCCCTGATTAGCCTACGGTCCCAGCTAATAGCGCATAAACTTTTTGAGACATACATTTGTTTTTCTCGTGTCTTTGTCATGTGCCCACCTAGGCTTAATACCTGGCCATTACAACGACCAGGCGAAGCTGCGTTATTCAAGAAAACGCATGTGAATTAACTTCGTATGCTGAAGAAGTGCGAAAAATAACGCAGAAATTGGCGGCGCTGTAACATTGCACGTCCACAGCACCCTCGTAAACTCAGGACCAAGTCCTCGACTCATTCGGAAACGGCTGGTAATTAAACGAATAATTTTGTGTAATAGAACTTGGGAACGATGCTTCTTGGTCTCCTATACTAACCAGGAAAGGTCATTTGGTCAACCCGGCCATTTGAAATGAGATGTATATGTGTATACGCGCCTTGGGACGCTGAGCTCAAATATGTGTTCCTTATCTGCTGAACTCTTCTCTGAAAGGAATTATGAAGCAGAAAAGCGCAGGGGCTGTGGTCGAGGCTCACGAAAAAGAGGTCAGGGGATCAACTCCCTGGCGAGTTTGTTCTTTTGCCGTTTGCAGTAAGATAGCTAGGAAGACTCCTAACATTGCTAGTCCGACATGCTTGCGTATAGTTAACAGTAAAAAGAATTTGAGGGCAATTAATAATGAACTTGGGCGGCACCGCTCCTCACCACTTTGGGCGCTTGTAGCGCAGGCGCCAGGCATTTTTGCTTCGAACAAGTATGATATTCGTAATCAGGGAGTCAGACTCTCCCTTTGAGCGAACTTCTAGCGAATTCTGAAATTTTGACCTAACCTCGAAAATTTGGGCAGTCACTTACTCACCGATCCACCAATCCATTACAAAAGGCTGGCACTTGGGTAGAATAAATTTTTTAAAAACTTTTCATAATAGACAAAAATTGTGTCTGGCTTGCCCGTCTGCATCATCCAAAGATCTGCAAAGCATTATTTCCTAATACAACACCTTCTCTCCCCTTTCCCCCGTCGTCCATGATTGGTCAACCCAAAAAAGTGGAGTTTGAGGAGTGGTAATCCCATCACTGCTCCGCTTTTTCTCAATTAGTTCATGACCTCAGATTTGGCGAAAAACTCGTTTTTAGGGGTAGTTTGATCCCCTGAATACGAATATCGTACCTACTTGCCACGGAAAAGCATAGCACCTGCACTACGGGCACCATGGGCACTCACAGACAAGTAGTGCTTAAGTTTAAGAGGGTCTGCTTGCAAACTCTTCGTAGATGTAGCGTCGGGCGACCATTGATAAAATAACAGATTCAAAAAGGCTTTTCAGCCATGTTGGAAAAAAAGCAAAACAACAAACCCCGTAAGGGACCGAACCCCCGACCCCTCCGTGAGAAACACGACCGCTACCAACTGCGCTACCTAGGCTCACATCACCAGTGCCTCGGTTCTCCTTTCGATACTTTTATAGTGCGGCTAACATGTGATTGCAGGACACTGAAAATCAAGGGCGGCAACAAAAACCCTCCGTAACTCCTTTCAGAGAAGAGTTCAGCAGATAATGAAAGCAGATTTGAGTTCAGCGTCTCATGCTGCGTACAGAAATGTGCACCTCATTTCATTTGGCCGGGTTGGCCTAATGACCCTTCCTGGTAAGTTGCTGATCTGAGCAAGGCGCAAACTAGCAAACATTTTGTCGCATAGGAATGATGGAACTTTTCAGAAGAAATAATCCTCACACCTCCCCCCTCCCCCTTCCCCAAAGGTAGAAACAAGCGTTTGTTCGCTGCCCTCACAGTGTTCAGGATATGATGAAATCGTCGCCACCATCCACCTCAAGAAGGCCTACAGTGATTGCCTAAGGTCGAGCTGACCCGATTTCTTTACTCGGCTCACTGATGGAGAGATTTCTGGGCTGTAGCTCTAACAATGCAAAACCCCTGCCGACAAAGATTCCAGACAACATCATGGTGACTCACCGAGAGCCTGCTGAGCGCCTTCTTGTCCCAGATTCGTGTTATTTAGGCCGTGTAAAAGCCTACCATGAAGATACGGTAGAATCGAATGAGCTCTTCACTTTCCAACCCAAACATCTGATTTGGGTTCAGCGAAGTGTGATCAGTTTGGTTTGGAATGTGGAGGAAGAGAGCCTTTTTACCCCCGTATACAGGCTCAAAGTACACACTCAAAACCTGCACGGCAGGTGCACTGCCTTTCCTCTTAACAACAACCTTCCTAAGGTGTTGCTCACGATGAAGCGATCTACGCGGCGGCATGCCTGCGCTCTCGCTGGTCTGCTATGCTATCTCGCCTCGCTCGCATGTTTTCTCGATCCAGCCCTAAGTGCCTGGTTTGTCTCGTAAACATATCGACTATTTAGGAGGATGAGGTCTTTTTTCTAGTGTTTCGGCCGTTCCCTTTCATTTTTTCCCCACTGCCGTCCACTTCTCATTCTACATTGATTTCTGAGCATAATAACCGCAAGAATCGTCCGAGACGAGTTGATTAAAGGCTTCGAAAATTGCGATTTTTCGCAAGGATAACCGAATAAATATTAAAAGATGATATCAATTTCGTAGATTCGAGCAGAAAAAAAACCAGTCTATCATAAATCCTGGCGAGATTAATGAAGAGCCATGGCTTTCAACTGACTGTACGATTCCGAATGTAAGTCAAACGTATGGCTTATTCCACGAAAGAGGTCAAAGTCGATGCTTTTTTATTGCGCATTTATTCGCATGGAAAGCGGCGCTAGAGCTATAGATATTGCGTTGTACGCAACCATCAATCTTTTCTGCGCTCCTTAGCCGGAACTGACATTTCTTAATAACGCTGATTAGGAACATTGCAGGCGGTCTTACAAACCATGGTGTAGGTCAGATATATAGACAAATGCGTTCGATTATGAATGGAGCTGATTGCCAAGCGTATCCCAGGTCAACATGAACCACTCCTCAAACTATATAATATTCTTTGACTCCATAACACGCAATTTCCCTAGATGGCCTAAAAGCGGTTTACGATGAGAAGGCAGGGTCCTCCCCATTGCTGCGTTGCCTTTCGAAAGGAAAGGACCCACCGAATGGGAAAGCGGGCAACGTCCGAGTCCGGCCACACGTCGGAGCGTTTATAGTATTTGATCACTCTACTCTAGGTCTATTTTTACAGCGGGTGAAATAGGATGGACACAGATGAAACAAAGGCGGAAGTGGTCACTGATGCAGGGACAAAGAAAAATCCAGGATCCAGACATGGGACCCTTTTGCTTTTAGATCTTCGCGATGAGCACGTCTCATCGGTGCACCTCATCCACATTACCGCTCTCTCTGCTAGGCGGCCAGAGCCAGACGGCGAGGGGGTGGGCGGATAGCAGCGATAGCGGCGCAGGAATGGCCATGCTGAATCAACGGTGACATATCCTTTCGCTGCGGTTAGGAATCGCACAAGTTATTCACCCAAGGTATTTTCCCCCTTTTTCGACGGAGCGACACTTATCGTTGTTAATCCTTCGTTGACGAGTTGGTCCTCAGGTCAGAGGCATTGCGGTTTATCTTGTGGTAATGCTTCATCCCTCCGTTAGTGGATAGTACCTAAAAGCAAGTGGTCGGTGTAAATGCGAGCCTTTTCTAAAACTCCACCCGCTGCTGCCCAAGCCTTAGATCGTATACCCCCTCGAGCTTTCTCACGAGTATGAACAGAAATAAAATAAATGAAATAGCTGTCAAGAAAGGGGTGTATGCCAGAATACCCTACGCCAGGCCTCGGAACACTTTTTTTTCGTTCCAAGCTAGACAACGAGATAAATTCAATACTTCCGTAAAAAAACTATCTAGCATGGCGAAGGGATAGCCCCACTCTCATATCGTTTAGCTTCTTCTAGTGTTCCTTTGCATTTTGGTGACATAGGAATGCGATGAGGATTGTTGAACCAGTGTAAAATTCCCCCTTTTCGATCTGACATCCAATAATAAAATAATCTTTGTTAAATTTTTCAGTTCGCTTGACTAATGTGAGGAAAAGCCATGCAATATGCCTTTGTTAGAGCTAAAGAGTCCCACATAGGCATAATCGGCGCTATAGCGCTGGGAAACCTTTTCTACATTCGATTTTTGAAATCTATTCTGAAAAAACAGCTCTGAAAATCATTTTGGTAAGCATACAAGTCATATGCTTTTCCTTGTTCTATGACTGGACAATGGGTTGCCATTCTTCCTAATCTAACTGTTTAACCTCTGTTACTTTCTATTTAATTGTCGCCATTTCGTAGTTACCTGTCCTTATTACCGCTGTAAAATGCGTAAATAAATAAATAAACAAGTAAATATGCATGCGCCACTGGTTAATCCCATTCCAGGATACGCCGCGCATTCTGCGAGAAATCGTTACGGCATTTCAATGCGGGCTAACCGCTACAACAACTATGGGCGGGGAGGCGATTCCCCATTAGCTGCTTAATCCTTCCCCACAGATCTGACACCATCAACCGCGCCTAGTAGAATGGAAGCCATGGCTGGCCTGAGCGCGAGGTTCGATTCGGAACCTGGCGATCGAGCACGAGCGCATCGTAGGCGTCGCCGCTACACTACTTCCGCGCTAAAAAGCAGGTAAATGGCAGATTTCCAGCACTCAAAAAGGAAGGTTCAAGAATTGCTGTATACTCTGTTTATTTTCCAATTCCTATCCGAAATGTTGCGATTTTTGCGGAAGTTCCCCCGATATTTTGGTTGGTAATGGTGAGTGGTTTTTATTACTGGAAAGGTTTTTGTGATGATCCCGCCCACTTCCGATACTGACCTCAACATTGCCGATCGTCCTCGAACAGCCTCCATGTCTTGCTGTCGCAATGACTTTTGTAAAACTGTGAGAGAGTGTAATTGATTGGCTCTCTAAAAGCGATTCGAATCGTTGACCGCACCCATGGAACGGGTTTGCCAACAGTCGCCACCGCCCTCCCATCCCCAATTGAAAATGTGTCGTCGATGGTGTGCTGCCACGCCCTGTACACATACGACGTTTACACTGTGCGACAAACATTGATTGATGCCAAGTACTACATTTTGAAATGACAGCTTCCGTTCAGTACTCAATTACTCTACTCTAGTGCAGTACGTCAACCTCTAGCCACTACTTTCCCCAATTCCCTCGAGTCGTGCTTGTTAATGCCATCGATTGTATTTATGTCTCATCGTTTTCGTGGTTATTGAATTCGTTACCTCCTGTCTCACTCTTCAGATATGGAAATAGCCTTACAGGAGAAAAGTAAAGGAATACTTTACGAAGGCTATACGAAGTCATTTCGTCAGTGTATCTTCGAAGAAGGAGACGTTGTCGGAAAGAATGAGCGATATGAATTTCGGTTCGTGCACAGCCTAACAATTCTTTTACCTTTACCCGATTTAATTCTTTACCTTTCTGAATCATTACTTTTCCTAGTAAATAATAATATGTCACAAGACTGACATCGCTTGAACCCATGGTTTTGCACCTCACGGGCAACTGAAAGGTTGTTTCTACCTGCCATTCATGCCTATTTCTCCCACGCTCTATTAGGTTGTCCCATAATTAGTGAATCACTTTACATTTATTGCTATTAAAAATTCCAAGAAAAATGGTGAAGGCGTGAAACATGTTTTGCGAAGTAGCATCCACATTATCCTACCTGAGCAATTAGTCAGCCCGTTTACACGCTGCCTTTCGGGCTTTTATTAGGTTGTTCGGAAAATAATGCGGGTTTTGACCTCTATCTTTGAAGAGGCATATTTCACTCAAATTCAACATTTTTAGTCGTAACAAAAACTATTGGAAAGCACTAATTTTTCTTAACAAGATGCGTACTGAAATGTCCTTCCCACATTAAAATCAGCGCTTCTGGAGGCAATGATATCGTCGAGCGTCATTTTCACATCAGTTTGAACATTGAAGCATTTCTTACTCAAGAAGTGGTAGATGCTTGGAAAAGGTGGTGAGGAAAAGGATCAGTGAGTAAAACGTGTGGATCGAAGCTTAGCCCGGTTTCTAAGAGCTGAGTTTCATCAGTCCCGTGGGAGATCGCCGAATGTTCAGCTCAACTTTGATCTTCTATAATTTCGGCTTTAGAGTAGTTTTTAAAGATTTATCAGAGTCTATCCATTAGAGAAGTGGCTTCTTCTAGTTGTAAAGAATTCGTTTTCTGTCATAGTCGATGGGTTCCGAATACTAGTAATTTTTGGTGCGTAAAACGGAGGGAACGACCAGGGTCAACTGTGCGTTCACACTATTCGAACGAGGGGGTCGCATTTTTGGTTTTGGGGTGGGGGTCGCATTTAGGGGTTGAGTGGGGATTAGTGATTAGAGGGAATGGCGGGGCGATTTAGATTTGTTTTTGTTGAGAATGGGGCGTAGTGGACTTGCAGCAGCGGGAGGTAGGATAGGTGGGAGTAGGAGAGAAAATTTGAAGTTTCACTGCACTAATAACCCCGCTTCCCCTGTCCTCCCCTTCTTTCCTCCCCCGGGGCCGTGACATTTTGGAAACGGTGCGAACGTCACGGTTGACCCTGGGAACGACCCCTTGGGAAGGGTATTGCTGCTGCTTCAGTCAGCCCATGCGGAAGCCACCTGTTCAGCTTTTCACCTCCCCAGTTATCTTCAGGAGCCACAATATTTTCAATATACCTACTTCTGGTCCTACTGCTTGCTATAGTTAGTCTGGAATCATCTTCTACGGGAATCTTCAGAAGGCCGTCGTCAACAGCAGAAGCATGCTCATGACTCCCCTCACCTTCACTATGGAATTCTTCTGAGCCAAAATTTGGAGCCAAGGCTGTGCTGCGCTTTATTGGTGCTTCCTTGGCCCCATCCTTCAGTGTTATTTCGACAGGTCTATGGAAGCACTACTCAGAGTTTCAGCACATCGAAGAAAACTTGCCCAAACCACTGTCTTGACACCTTCAGTTCAATTCTATAAAAAACCCAAGATAACAAGTCAAACTGAAATTCAAATATACCAAGGAAAGAAGATAGAATAGGCTTGCCAATGATATATAGGGCTTCAGGTCTGAAGGAAATTTCAGTATAAAAATATTCCAAGTATGCATGGCATCTCGAAATCCGCGTTACTTTCCGAACAACCTCTTCGATTTTTCCAAAGCCTATTCTGAGCTTTCTTCTTCACCATTACCGGATAAATCTTTGAAATGCTGAAGAGCATAAAAAAACAAGCAGAAGATAGCCGAAGGCATGCACCCTCAACTCGCGGTGAACCGACGGCTCAATTTGCTCAGAGTTAGCTTTCTTTATAAAATTATTTACTCCATCCACCCCGTGACTTAAAATCTCAATGCTCTACCCGACGCCATTGAAAAGCAGTCCGTACAGACCAACTCCTATTTGCCAGAGCGCTTCCGATGTGTTAAGATGGCAGTTCTGAGATATCTTCATTGAGAGTCAAAGATTTGAAAACGTGGAGTTTGCATCTAGCATGCTTTGAGCCCGAATCAGCTCCAGACACACCTCTTAAATCTTAAGGTTCTTGCTAATTTCCCCTCTTATGTGTCTCTTCGATTGATTGCAGCATATTCGCCGATAACGTAGACTGGATGTAGTGTCCTAACAAGTCCACAAGCAGTATAGCTTAAAGCAACAGTCCCAGCAGGGTGGGCGTGGTCGGAAACGGCTGCAATCCCCTCGGCCGATTCCCACTTCGGAGCTGTTCAGCCCCTAGTCAAGAACGTAAGAAGTGTGACTGAACAAAAACTCACCTTGGAAAGCCGCTAGGAGGGAGCTGAAGTGGGCGTGGTCGGAATCGGCCGAGGGGATTGCAGTCGTTTCCGACCACGCCCACCCTGCTGGGACTGTTGCTTTAAATTCGACAGTTACAACCAGGGTGTGCAGGCGTCGAGGAAAACTCTAAAATACGACGACCCGCCCCCTCCCCTGCGGCCGAAGTCCATGAAACGACCCTCCTCAAGCCGAAGTGTGCAAAAGTTGTTTAACACTCCTCGATACCCGAGCGATTTAATCCTCTGGCCAAATTTTGTACAGAATCGATCATTCCTTGATGATTGTCATTCAACAGTGATGATCAGACCCAACCCCTTCCTCCCAGTGAGCCTAACACGACCTCCCTTTCTGTCGACCTGTCGAGGATTCCTCAACGCACGCTTGAGCCTGGTTCTGACAGCAGAAGCCTGTACTCCTCTAATAAGGGAGGTTTTACAGGGTGCGGAGCGGTTCTTGAAAACGGTTTGCTGCATGCTGTTAGAGGCTCTTATGAAGACTACAAAAGTGAGGTCCATTTCAGCTGAGCGGCTCTCAGGCTACAGAAAGAGCAAAAAGAATTTCCCAGAGTGTATGGTTTTACAGCGTCGAAGTGATGTGTGGAACTTATAGCAAGACGTACCTGGTCCCGGTAATGAATTTACACCTAGTATTGCTGCTGTCGTCATTTAGAGGAAATTTTTAAGGCTTAACCGAAAATGGCTCACCCGAAAATGCGACAAATTTGTCACCCCGGAGATGGAACCTTGGACCGTTTCTTCAACGCTTCACGGGACCTCTCTGCGAAATTGGACCCCGGTTTTGTAGTCCGCGCTGAATTTCTAGAAGATTCGAAAGCCATTCTGAATATGGTGAAATACAAAGAGGCATCAAAATTCTATTCCACAACAATTCCAATAGTTCACAAAATTCCACGTGTTCCAAAAATTCGAAAAAAAAAATTCTAAAAGATGCAATTCCGCGACTGCGGAAGATTCTTCTTTCTCAAACTAATCTGTTTTCTAGAATTTTGGAACTTGCAACTTTGTGAACTTTTGGAATTCTTTTGGAAAAAAATTTTGGCTGCCTCTTTGTGTTACACCATATTTAGGTCGTTGAGGCTCCATGACAGCACAACACTAAGAAAACCGCTATGTAAACGCTATGAAAAGAGTTTCAGACCCCGAAAGACTCCACTTGTAAGTTGGGCCCTTCTGAAATATTACTGGAACACGAGACGGGCTTTGCGCTGGAAACCGACACTCAATAAGACCAGGGTCAGTGACGAAGACAAACGTCGTCAGCTTGACGCGATGCGTTCAGTCCAAAAGCAAAGCAAGAGCAAGCCCCCTTTCCTTCTCTGATGTCGTTAGACCCGCACCTTGCTGAGAAAATTCTTGAATGGACTCTCGAGTTGTCAAATCTTTCAACTCTGCCATGTAGCCCTAGGCAAGTGCCAACGATCAACCATCTTCTCTCTTCTCTCTGGTCTCTCACTTCGACCTCCCCCTATTCTTCCATGGGGAGATTTCACGCGGTCATTTCCTCAAAACCGACATCCGATTTTCTTTAATCATGAATCCATGAAATTCGAAAGGAAATTTAGCGAATAGTTCCCCATGCGTACGCAGTATTGTATATGTAGTATACAATAGAAGTGGATATTTGGATGATCAAGCACTTAAAATAAACAACAAAAAAGTCAAAGTCGAAAAATAGCGAAAGTTATTCGCTAATTATGGCACTAGCCTAATAGTAAGCTTCATTTGCAGTGCATTTAAACAAAATGATTCTCGAAAAAATATTCCGCTAGCAGCCCTTACCTATGTGCTTCAGATTTTGATTTTAGATGTGACGATGACTTGGAGTGTTGTGGGCGCACTTGTTGTATACCCGAAGCAACCACTATTCCTTTGTGGTAAGCTGATTTATTTTATCTTCAATTCCACTTTACTGCCCAAATTTATTGCTTGGTATAGTATTTTGATAACTATAAGCGTCGATATGATGCATTTAAAAAGGCTTGTCTGGACGCGTGCAATCGCGCTGCGGCGCGACTGATCGATCGATCGATCAATCACCAAGGCTGGTGTCATAGTCCGCGTCCGTCGCGCGATCCGCACGGAATCGCGTGATGGATCCCGGAATCTGACGCCAGCCTTCAGTAGAACTTGACCACACCTATCCCAAATTGACCTTTATACAACCCTTGCTAGAATACACGAAGTACTTGTCTGGTAGGTGAGTAACAGAGTAATTCAGGTTGATGATTATCTTTATTATTCTGGCCGCGGTATTGCTACTAGCGATTCTTGGCACTCTCGCCTGGCTTCTAGCAAAACGAAGGAAACCGAAACCAAAGAAAGGTATGCTTTACAATGCTTCTCCAACCTTTTCAACCTTTCGCATAACAGATCAATAATTGATCGTCTAACCAAATTTTTTCCATTACTGATTGCACGTTACGTGTGAAATATTAGTGCATGTGGTTCTTTCACGAATTTGCAGCGGGATTTGTGAACGAGGCATCGTCCCAACGAGCGACGAAAGGCTACTCAGCGTTGCAGTCTCAACGACATGGTGCTGGCGGCAGCGGACGCGATTCTGATGATCGGGGACTGCTTGCACATGAGCAAGAGACCTACAGTACGCCTGATCATCTATATGGTGGTTACGGCAGCCGCTCGTACAGCCATAGTGATAGCCATCGAGGATATCCGTCGCGTCGGGACGGCTATGGCAACAACATGTATCATGGCGATAGCGGCTATGGCCCTGGTAGTGGAGGCCTCAACATTGACCGCGGTGGTGGTGGAGGCGGTGTCACGCGAGACATTGCGATACGTGACGCTCGTCGCGACTTTGCACGACCGCATGGCGACCGCTCGCGTGACATAGGTGGTTCACGCATCACTGTCTCAAGTGATGGTAACGGGTCTATGGTACGCACGGCGACCCCGGTGACATGAGCACCGTTGCGAAGAGAGTGTCAAAGCAGGAAATAGCCTGACGAAAGGGCCTGCTTCGACCTGATATCTCGAGGAGATGTTGTTAGATAATTGTCATTTTCTGTAATCAGGAACAAGGATTACGTCGAGATCTGCCGTGTTTTTGAACGTCCATTAAGTGAAAGAAAAGCTGAGTAGATTGGAAATCCATGATCGCAGATTTTCGCCTTTTTCTTCCGATGTTGTTCTTGGGTGGGGATCCCACTATTCGGTAATCTCCGTTGGCCAACTAGAAACAAAAGAATAATGGCCCCCATTCATTGAGAAGTCATTTTGCTCTGCATAAAACGCGGACCTGACTTTATGCTTTTGTGGTTTTCGGCGATTTATGAAAGCCGTGAAACAATGAGAACAAAGGTTGGTGCCAAATGAGTGGGGGAGGGTGTGCGGCACGCGGAGGCGCTCTGCTCCACTCTTCTGGCGCTCTTTCAAGCGCAACGGTGCTAGTCCCGGGAGGCGAATTGACGGGAAATAACAATGAGGGTAGACTGTTAGAAGGGAGACCATAGAAGTGTGGGATGTGTGATTTACTCTGAACCTCGCACAGTCCTCATAATATGATAGGCCCATTTCTTTGTCTTACGGTCGCAGGGCTTAGTGCTTCGTTGCCGGCCTCGTCAGATGTAGCGGCAGACGAAGCCAGTGCGTACGGAGCGAAACCCCTTCCATTAACGTCAGCTTAGCGCCCCAAAGTTTCCGTCACGTAATCTTGCGTGTACCTCTGTTGTTTTCATTAGGCGTGTTGGCATTATTGTATTTGTTCGGAGGAATCGCGATTTGAACCACTCAATTAACATCTTTCATTTGATCTGCTTATAGTCGTATGCTTAGCTGTGTGTTCCTTATTACCTTCCTTGCTGTTCACTCATTCTGACTCGTTTAGCCTTTGACTGACTGAGATAACTCTCGCCTACACTATCAGAGGGCCCAGTATTCATAGCAAGATCTGAATGAATTGGTCTGAATGAAGCTTTTCGCATGAATCAAGACCAACTTCTACATTTCACATCGATGATACCAATGAATGTAGCGTGCTGTGCTTCTATTACTACATCTCCACAACTAATGAAACCTGACTGCCATAAATAAAAACTAATAAATGATAACTACAGAACTTCCCTGACTAAGATCCGACATACATATTTGACAGTAGCAGAACTCTCGCAAGCCTTACAAGAGGGGGGAGGCGCTCAGGACAAGCCGGGCTCTCTTAGAACAGTGCTGCGTGTGTCGCAGGGACGCAAAGTGGAACATGAAAGCGTTTCCATTCCGCAGAACAATTTCAGTAATGCAAAAAAAGTAGTGAAGGAGACGTTATTGGTTCGATTTCCTATTGAGGAATAAAATTTCAGGTGGTCCTTTCAAGAACGCTGCCGAATTTCGAAAACTGTTGCCCTGCTCATGATTAGGACCTCCTTGGCAAAAACCCGTAGGCGCTAACCCTTACGATGGTGCCAGAGTGCGATTCGCGCGAATCGCTCGACAGATCTCGTACTCTGGCACCAGCCTCACTACCAGCGAAAGTCAGCAGGTCATATCCGCTATTTGCAATGTGGTGTACACCATTGCATATATACCATCAGAATCTGTTCAACTATTTTCTGAACGGAACGGAGTTAGGTTGGTCCCAGAGTAAGCGACGGAATGGGGTTTCACGACGAGAGGTGCACCAGTTGTTGTGCAGTGACAACAACGCCTCTAACCGCTCCACCCAAAAAGTTGATTGATAATTGGGCGGGCTGTGCTGCTCTTAGCTTTTCATTTTGGATGATCATTTCCCTTCTAGCGGCTGTATCTTCCAACTTGCCCACGTATTGCCTTATCAATCAAAACACTATGCTTGTTGGCATGATGGCGGCTATCGGGGTTAACACGTCCAAACAACCTCTTTCTTGGCCGCCGCTCATCCACGGTCGACAATCAGGACGGAGTTTGAGATGAAAAGGCTGTCCATCAGAAACGAAGGTAGAGGTGATCAGTGGTGCAGGGATGAAGAAAAAACATGAGAAACGGCCCAGAACCCGAGAAATGGAACCCCTTCTTTGCCCGTTGATTTCCGCATTGATGCGACTCTCATCGGTGCTGCCCTCTTCAACGCTAACGCTGCCGTTGCTCTATGGCTAGAGTCAGACGGCGAGAGGGTGGGCGTGCCGTGGCGCAGGTATGGCCCTTCTAGGCCGCTGGAAACGCACTCTTCGCATGAAGCGCGCATCGTTCCTCATTTAGAGTGCCCCTGCCCTTCGACTAGGTATATTTCCCCTTCTTCGACTCCCCAACCTTGTCGTGGAACCCTCCTTTACGATCATGTCCTTTTTTCGATTCTCAACGTTTTTTTTTCTCTGCTTTTTCGCCACTGGCGGACCATTGAGCACTACCACATCCCCTTCGGACCACTCTAGAACCCATTTTAATCGCTGTCTTCGGTAAAATTCTCTCACCACGGGTAAGCGAACCAATGACAGGTCTTTCACTATTTTTTGGTGTTGAAATCGTTCAGCCAGATTGAAGCACGGTTTCAAGTTTTATGCATGTGTCCATACGATAGCAAAACACCTAGAGAACGCGGCTTGCCCTGAACGACCCCTTTGTGAGAAGGTTTCTAATTATAGTCGGTTCCGAACACACTCCAATTCGAAAAGCGCGTCCCGGAGAGCCGAGACGCGGAAATACCCATAAAGAGGGTCTACAGACAACTTGAACTTGGTCCTTCAACTGATGCCGTTCGACCTGTGCACCAATAATATTATTTATCTATGAGCAGTGATTTATTGACATTTCTCTCAGAGTAACATGTACACTGCTTTCCTTCTTCGAAAGCTTGCTAGCGGGCACCGTTGGATGTGAAAAAACGCGATTCTACGCCGTACGGCCACCTTGTGGGGCGAGCTGACCGTTATAGGCTTGGGTTTTTATTTGTGTCGGCGCCCTCCTACCTAAACAGTGTTTGATCATTGCGACTCTCAAATAGCAACTTCATACATGATGAGTGATTCAGCGAGCCCGGAGCCCCTTAAAAACTCATACTGGGGTCTCTCGTTTGTTCCTTCTAGAATTCGAAGCTGAGTCAGCCACAATTCGAGTCATGCTAGAAATGCTGGCTGACTCAGCTTTGAATGCTGAAATGAAAAAACCAGAACCTGACTGGGTTTTCATGGTACTCCAATATCAGTGGTGCGCCCCAGCTATTCGTGGCAACAGCATGGCCGAAAAAAATACTTTTTCCGTTTTCATTCCGACTTGTGGACAAGATATATATCATATTCAAACGCTCCACAAGTTCATCTATCCTACTTTTCGTTTAGTTATCATATTCAAGAAGATCCCCAACCCCCGCACGCGAGACATGGTCCCTAGGACTCATAATAACGCTTGCTACGCCCCAAGCTAAGCGACACTTTAGCTGTTGAAACTCCATAATAAA